TTGAGGGTAATCTGTACAAGAGTCAGCTGGAGACACTTTTCACAGCTATTGCCACATGCCATCTTCTGATCATGCTGCTACAGAACAGGCGCAGGTAAAAAAAGAATTTGGAATTCTACAAATGGCATTGCACTTATACACGCCTGCTTGGATTAAGTCCCGGTGGGTCTTTTCTCTTAAATAGACAAGGATAGAAAATCACACTCTAGTTCGGTTAAAGTCAATGTAACACAATAGCTTGAAGGTCACATTCATGCTCTGGCACCAGGGGGCAGAGAGCAGGCTGGGGATGGGGCTGGCATGCATCCTGGGGGTGTGGCACCCAGCGCGGGCGGGGGGCAGCCATGATGGCACCCCACCGGGATCGCCCTGCCAGGGGCAGTGCGCTCCCCCACCCCACCCCTCTTCCTCTGCCAGTGATTCCAGGCAAGGTACAGTAGATCCATCTGTTGTGCACATACATCTTCAGAACCATGTACAAAATCTCTTACAGATGCAATAATGAATGTTGAACAAAAGGATTGGACCTTCATGTTGCAGGTGCTTTTGTACTGCAACATTTCTTTTACCGGTTGGGTGTTGCTCATCTTCCCTTCTAATAAAAGTTTTAAATCCAATGGATGGAATTTTGAAAGTATTCATTTCATTAGTGTACAAGTGGATAATTGTGGGATGCTTGTACTTCAACGCTGTTGTCAAATTGAATACTGGGCAAAATATCCATACAGCATCATCTAATTTGCAGGGAGTGATGCCTTCTGAATAAGCATGATAAGGTGCCTATAAATCAGGAGCACAGCATTAAATTGAAATTCAGGTATTGCTGTGGACCTCAGGTGAAAATACTAACAGTGCAGCCCTAGTCATGTCTACTTAGATATAAGTCCTACTAAATTTAGTGGGGCTTACTCCCAAGTAAGGGAGTTTTGTGATTTCAGAAGCTGAAATAATTAATTACCGTTCAAGTATGTCAGCCTAACTCTGCATACTTTCTTATTCATTCATTTTTATTAAGAGATTTCTATACATCATTTCACCAAAAATGGTCATAATGCAGTTTACACACATACATGCAAAAACACAAATTAATATAAAACACAATAAGCAAGTATTTTTTTAAAAAATATATATAAATGACATAATGAACAGCATCATAAAAATGACTTCACCCATCAGCCCCCAAAAGCCTAACAAAAAGGTGGGTTTTTAATGTGGTGTTTTAAAAAAATAAAAAGTTGGGGTGAGACATACTTCTGTGGGGAGGTTATTTCACAGATGTGTTCCCCAATGAAGTGTATCATAAAACTACTATTAAGGTTCTTGATCCCCACACAACATTTCTTATTTACCGGAAGAGCCTCTTTCGCTGATTTAATGCATGGGAAGGCTGATGTGGAAAATAAGGCATGCCCTCATATATTTGGGCCTAGGCCCTTCAGGGCCATATTTACTAGGGAGTAAACTGCTTTGGAATGCTTACCTCTGAGTAATAAGTTCAGGCTACATATTTGAGACCTGACAAGAAACCAGCCTAAATGAGCGTAATCACAATCCCACATGTGATAATGGTTTGTTTTCATAGTAGTGTTATCACAGGTGGCTATTAAAAGCTTGCAGAAGGTGTAAGGGTTGTGTGATCAGCACTACAGAGCTTCACAGAAGAATACATAAAGCTTCATCTTACATGAGTTGATGATTGGACCTTATTTGTTCTGTTGCCATTTCTCGGTGCCTTGCCATTATCTAGAAGCCAGAACCAGATATCAACGAAGTGACAAGGTTTTGGCATCATAATTTAACTTTGCAACGTATTCTCAATCATTTCCTATAACATTGTTTTTCCACTTTCTCGACATAGAAAGTGGTCTCTATAGGCTTACATTGGCATAATTTTGCCATCGTCTTGACATAGTAATATGGTCTCTACAGACTTGAAAAGAAAATTTTGTCACTGCCTTAATATCATAATGTCCTTCACAGATGGATCTTCAGATGCATCACAATCACCACATACATGCAACGTGGCATCATCAAGAAACAGTAGGAAACTTTATCTTCCTATGTGAGAGAAAGCAGTAAATTTTTGCTTGGGGGATGGAGGAGGACAATTATGTGTTGAGTATGATCAGCAGAGATATTCTGTGTTATATTTCCAGCTTCAAAACATTTTGAGCATATATTTTTAACGAACACTGAAAACACATGCAGAAGTCTAACCCGTGTTCCTAGTTTTTACAGCATTTGAAATGTATTCAGCTCTCCAGAGAGTATGCTAATATTTTCCCTGATGTTGCAGAATAGCTCAAAAGGCTTGATAAGATGGCAAATAATACTATTAAGGTTGCAGTCCTGTGCACACTTACCTGGCAGTTATCTATTGAACTTGGTGGGCCTTATTTATGAGTAGACGTAACTAGGGTTGCACTGTAAATAAATATATATGAGACATTTACAGTCCAATCCCAGATATGTCTACTCACAGAGACAAGAAATTCAGCAAGCATGCTTGTTTAGATAAGTTTGCCAAAGCTGCGATTCAGTGAAATATTACTAGTTATTTTAGATTAAGGTTTTAGATTAAGGCAGTTATTTCAGATTTAACTGAAAATTGAGACCACCTTTGCCATTTGGTGGTCTGAACATAATATGGCCTGGAATTAATTTTCTACATTCCAGTACAGTATAAGAGTCTAAATGGCAGGCCTTCTTCGTGTCAAAATTAACGCTCAAATCAATTCACAAACTGATTGAATGATCTTATTCCAATTAAATCATAAACCATAATGCTAATAACAGAAGCAGTATATCACAGTGAGTGTGATGCATCGGAAGATGACTGGTTCTGATCCACTGACATTTTTAAACATTTAAATTTCATTTGAACTGGTGCAGTAGTCACTAGATCTCGGCTATTCTTTGAAATAAGTGGCCAGGAAGTGTCTACCTGCACAATTCATACAAAATGGTGGAGGTGCTGTATCATTCTAATCACAGAGGATTCATGAATCCCCTTTTCTGACATAATGGACTCAGCTACACAGCTGCAAATAAAATGTTTTAAATGTGTTGTGCAGTGCAACATGCAAATGTGACACTAGATGGTGACAGTGAGCTATGCAAAATTCAATGTATTTTTCAAAACTTTTTATAAAAGCATTTTCAAAGTGTTTTTCATAGTGTGTAGATTCCACCGATGTTGAACATGGGAGTTCACTACAAGATAGTGAAGATGCAATAACATCTTCACTGGCTCTAAGGCTGTGAGCATTTTCCTGACATTGCCTTACCTGCTTTTTTTATGTTTTACGTAATGTTTCAAATGTCATAGAAGCCACTTCTAGAAATCTAGCAGAATCTAGTGGAAATTTAGTGCTCATTTCTGTGTAAATTCTTCCGGGAGGGGTCCATTTGCAGCCCTGTTAAACTGGAAAATTGTGGGATGAGATAATAATAATAATAATAATAATAACAACAACAACAATAACAATAATAATAATTTATTTATACCCCACCCATCTGGCTGGGCTTCCCCAGCCACTCTGGGCGGCTTCCAAAAAAATATTAAAATACTGTAATACATCAAATTAGGGGTGGTGTCCCTGCAAACAGGCCTTTCCCGCTATTTTCATGGGTGAACAGAAGTGCGCATGCAAATTAAGTGGAGTAGCAACATGTCTGATGACGTTCATTGCCATGTCACACCACATCCACTGGTGTGAATGAAACTTGGTGGTCCTGTATATCAATCAAAATGCCACAGTTCCACAGTGCAACTGGTGTTGCAGTGCAAAAGGGACAGCAGAAACCAGGACAGGTGTGCTAGCATTATAACCTGGAAAATGCAATAATCCTCACATCTGAATGCCCTCTAACTTTGCATAAGATTGTACAATGTGATTGCTAAAAACAGAATAACTATTAACTATAGAGCCCTATAAGCTAACCAAATGTGTTATTCTTCCATTGAGCAGTGGGTGTTGTTATTATTCATTCATTGCATAAGGACAACCGAGGCGGATTTAGGGGAGCACGACTGGTTCAGTTGCACTGGGGGCGGAGCCTTGGGGCACTCCAACTATGCTCTAGAATGGAAGGTGAGAAAAGTGGAGAGGGAGGGGGGCAATGAATTTTGCCATTGCACAGGGCTCCACTGAAATTTGAAACCCCAAGGTCTGCCATTGAGGACAATCAAGATGAAATTATTTTCTTCTATTGTTACCTCACAAATAAGACCGTTTCTTTGTAAAAAGCATGCTGGGGCTGCCTTATGTATGCATAATAGGTGTGTACAATAGTCTCCTGTTTCTTAGCTTTTTGTGCAGCTGTAGATTCTACAGACATGAAGGTTGACAGTTCCTTCCATGCAGTCTCATCCAGAACCCAGCCAAACTGCAGTGTTAAGACTGGGCTGATTTAGCACCATTGATATCAATGCAACTTTAAAATAAAATTCAAATAATGTTATATAAGTGGGTTCTGGACTGTATCGTAAGGCTGCAAGATTCTCAGCTCACTAATTGTGTGGTGTTTTCTTGAAATCAATGGAACTTACTTCCGGATAAGTGTGTTTTAGATAGGGTCTTGACATCTCACGTTCTGCGTTTTTACCATTCGGTCTGGAAGATTTCTATGACTCAATTTATTTAGTGAGGATGTGGATTTCTTATGGAAATCTGTTCGGCATTTTATGGCGTCCTAACAAACCATTCCTCAAGCTTTGTGCGGATCTCTTAAGTCTACAACTTAAGATGTGTGACCCTAATTAAATGAGAACAGAGATTTGATTCTTTGCTTCACGGTTTTGCTGAAAGATTGCATAACCGAAACATGATGGATCTTCAATCCGTTTCACAGCAGCAAGACAGGAAAACACATTGCAATGTATAATCATACTGTGGTTTAACAATGTACTATTTAAACAACATTACAGAATCTGCAATAACATATGAAATAACAGCCAAAGTGATGATGTTAAAAACAGCAATTCATTTATTTTATTTCTGCTACCAACGTTTCCAGGATGTTGTTTTTTATATATGTAAATTTGCAGATTTAGAGTTATTTGGGTATGTTTGCTTTTTGTTTTCGCAAAATGTTGTTTTGGTTCTTTTTAACAGATACTGTCAGAAAAGCTGATGGTGAGCATTAGTGAAAATATTGCCAAAAGAAATATTCAAACGGCTGAAGACGGATGCTCCCAAACAGCAAACATGAAAAGCTAGATTCTTCTTTAAAGTCTCTCCATGTCTTCCTCTCTGTCTGGGTTCTTTCCTCTTTTTCTTCTTAATGCCATGTTGGAGTAGATCCTGCTTAGCCTCCAATCAACATTTCAAGCACTGGGATCATGTTTGATATTGTCAGATGGCCTGGAAAATTAAAAACCCAATTAAAGGCTCAGCACGAGGGTCAGCTCTTCTGCATATCAAAAGGCCTCCTCTGGCTATTCTGCTCAAATTGTATCTGTTAACAGCTCACTTTGCAGAAAGTGAAATAGCACAGCATTTATGAGTAATAAGTACCTTCCAGCTGATACATTTCAAACATAAACCACTTTCATGGCCCCGGCAAAAAGTACAAGTCATAATCAAATTGTCAATTTTTTCCTGTGAGATGCATAGATCTATTGTAACTGTGATTGTTAAAGAAGGAAATGCATTTTATTCACATGTTGGAAAAAAAGATGCACAATTTCCCTACAATTAAAGATTTTTTGTCACATTTTTACTGCCTTTCCTTTACATTTCTAAATAGTTACTATAATTGATTTTCGGGTTGCATTCATTTTTTTTTCTTTTTGTAGAAGAATCATTTATAGTTTTTATGTAGTGGAAGAAATGGTTGAAGTGAATAGCATTTTTGTTTAGCTGGGGTATTAATGTTCACCCAAATGTTTATAATGTGAATGTGCAAAGCACTAAAAGCTTTCGAGCGAAATGCAAATTAGTAGAGCACTCAAATGACATTTTTAGAAGGAGTTTTCATCTGTCAATGTGGCATAATATTAAGTCAAACTAAAGTCACTACTTCAGCTACTGGCCATTTGAAAAAATTTCATAAGATACTAGGCTTGACAGAAAAGAAAACAAACTACATAAATATTTTTCATCATATTATATTAACCAAGCAGCTGCTTTAAGATTCCACAAGTTAGCATATAATGTCTCCCTTTAGAATATATTTTGAGTATATGCAGTGTCAAAAATCTAAATCCCTGGGTTTTGCATAATGCATTAAGGTCCACATCTGAGACAGGAAAGATTTTTCAAAGCAATGTCATGTGATGTAGTAGCACGAGCCCTGCTAAGGGGGGGAAATTCCAGGGAATTTTAGAAGTGGGAGGGAAGAAAATAATGCATTTTGTTACTTGGATTTGTACTGCAGGGTATTACGAGAAGCAATTTTAAAAAAATCTTTCTGTTTTAGTGTAATGTAAGTAGCTTAGATTCTCCTATTACATCGCCTGTGTGTGTGTGTGTGTGTGTGTGTGTGTGTGTGTGTGTGTGTGTGTGTTTATATATAAAAAAGAAATATACACCTAAGTGACATCGAGGACTTAAGGGACATTGTGCTTTAGACAATGCAACATACTCTGAAAATAGGTAGTCCCTTACATTCCGTGGACCTGTGATATTCTCTGAGAAACCTTCACATTCCAATTAGTAACCTCTTCTTGTTTGGGCGGGCTTGCTGGAATGAAGCAGGTAACTGATACTTTTAATGCAACGAAGTATTTTAGTAATTTATATTTAAATTGTCCTTTTATTCATGGGTGGTAATTTTCACACTTTTAAACACCTCTAGGCTCCTGGGTTAGGGCGCATACCTGCATGCATGTTTACCTGGAAGGAAACCACACTCAATTCAATGGGATTTAGGCTCAATTAAGTGTGCCTAGGCTTGCAGCTTGGCAGCCCAACCCGATAGTGTTTACTCAGCAGCAAGTCCCAGTGAGACATATCTAGTAACTTTCTCAGTGATCCAAAGCTGCATGGCCATGTATACACGGAATATCCCCTGATGCCAAACTGAATAGTGCAGCCCCTGAATTCGCACAGACATTCGTGTTTATATTAGAGCTCAGAGCGCTCGTGAAAGCTGCTGGATTCTTTCTGATCAATTCATGTGACGCATTGATATTTTTTGATCAATAGGACACGATTCCACACGCCCTTTTCAAAACCGTTTGTCACAGTTACAAAAATGAAGAGAGGCCTGTTCTGCCACGCTGAATATATTTTTTAAAGATTAATTAATTAATAACATGATCTTTCCAATGAAGTGTAGCGTAAACAGGCTTCTTAATTTGGGACACGATTTGGAGGTAAAAAGACAATAGATTTGTGGGTTTTTTAATATTTTTAGAAAAGGAAAGATAAACATTTCTAAATAAACTCTCCTCTGACGGCTTGATATAGTGCTTCTGAAAGTTTTTTTTTTATAAAAAAAAATTGCCATAATGGTACAGCAGAGATTTAGCTGTGTTTTATTCCTTTAAAAATAAAAAGTCTCCTGCAGTGCACCCCATCATGGCCACTTGGGAAATAATGGAATTGCTGATAGACCCCCTTAGCCAACATGACACTAGTGGGCGCCATCATAATAACTTCAGATAGGCTGCAACTTATTCCTATTAAAGGGCAGCATATTGCATATTAATAGACAATTTAAAATAATTACAGGCTTTAATATTTTTCGGGGAATGGTTGCTTGTCTCCTGAAAGTTTCACACTTCTTATAGAAAAGAAAGCAAATGCTTCTTCTTCTTTTTCCCCCCTCCCAGAGAAACAATGTATAATAATATGTCAGTAAAGATTGAGCAATTTTGAGTAGTGATGGGTGAAAAGGACATTATGTTCTTTTTTTCTTGTCATGGTCTGTATTTTTCTGTCAGTTGGCAAAGGCTGCACTCAGCAAGAAGAAGCTAAAGACCTGCACTGAGAGACGTGAGGGTGACAGCTAACCTGACAGGTCAGAAGATGACTGCAGAATTAGCCTTACTTTAATTCTCACTAAAATTCACAGCTTCTGACGAGGAAATGGGAAAAAGAAATTTCCTTACACATTTTCTTTTCATTTCGTGTGCAGATTATACATATTCTGCTTCCATTAACAAGATGGAGATTGTGCTTTATGCAGCTCTATATTTAAGGGCAAAAGACCAAGAAGATGACAAGAATGACCCCTCTCTTGTCTTATGATCACTGCCAGTTTGACATGACACTAATTAGACTCCCTTAATCTAAACCCAGTTAGTTCTGCATGCTTGCAGCAAAACCACTGCAAAACCCGAACATAAATTGCCTTGGGCCTTTGTCTTCACACACATGCACTTACACACACACACACACACACACACACACACACACACACACTTACCTTATCATTCATAATCCAACCACAATATTCCTAATGTACAAACGTTCAAAGAATTGCAATTCTCTTATTTCTAAAATCTCAATTGCCTCTGATTGTATAATAAAGGAAAGAATAGGCACTTGCATGTGTGTGTTTGGTCTAAATTGTCTCCCCGACCCACTGTTTTTGAAAATGCTGTGGATGAATTGAATATCTTGTGGGTGAACATTTGTAGCATTTTCATGCAATGTCATTGTGCCAATTGATTAGATATTGTGTTTATGCAATGAACACAAAACCTGTTTTAAATGACCAGTCATTAAAAATAATTGCTATAAGGCAATGTTAATGTAGAATGATCTGTACTGCCATAGCGTGAGACTATCATGAGCAAAGAAAACACAAGAATATTCAATATTCAATAGTGAAACAGAGGGGCCATGATCCAACATAGAACAGTCATGTTTGTCCATTGATGTAAATAAGCTGAAGCGTACCCAACTCGTGGCTTGTTGTTAAGCAAGAAAAAGGATAATTGGACGTTGAGGGGAGACCTGGTGATAGCACACGCCTGCAGTCTTTGCGATCTGATTTATTGTTTTTAATTTTAGAAGTTCATTGGTCATTCACACAGATTTCTGAGCCACAGTTTTATTTTATCACCCCAGGGAAACTGTTTTGGGATCGTAATGCAGTCTGAAGCTGCTGTTGCTGCATATGCTGAAGTCATCCCAAAATAGCTATTTGTACCCGAGTGCAAATGCAGTTTTTAGTAATGCAATCAAGTGTTAAGGAAAAGTGTGATTTACCAGTTCAGACTGACCTCAGCCCAGAAATGAGCAGCCCGGCGGACCAAGTTGCTATGGTCTCATGCTCACTTTCTAGAGCATGGATGGGAAACCTGTGCACTCCATCAGACCCAACTAGCATGGACATTGGTCAGGGATGATGGGAGTTTTAATCCAATAACATTTAGAGGGCCATAGGTTTTCTCTCCCTGCTCTAAGGGGTCTCCTACATTGCTTTGTCTGACTGCTAGGTGCAGCTTTTAAAATAAATAGATAAAATCAATTAACAGTTTTGCAAAACTTTGGATTCCCACCCCCACTGCTTTCCATGATTATGGGAAAGGCTTGGATTGACTTATGAGGATGATCCTGTAGAAGCAATGATGCTTGCTGGATTGTCCTTTGTAGCTGCCCATTGCTGCGGCATACAAAGCTGCATGCACAACTCAAACCCATTGCTCACTGCTGCAAAGAACAGGGTGATCAAACCATCCCAAAGCCATCAAGAGGAAAGCCTGGGTTGTACTAATCCTGCACGCTATATTTACTATGTGCCGCTATTAGCACATTTAGAAAGAGTTTTCAGTAGCTGCAGTCCTAAGTCTTCTTTAATATCAGTTCACTTTCGTTGGCTAGGGACCGGGAGGTAATATGGTTATGAAACAAACAAATAAATAGGAAGAACTTTCTGACAGTAAGAGCTGTTCGACCAGGGAATGGGCTCCCTTGGGAAGTTGTGAACTGGAGGTTTTTAAGCAGCGTTTGGATGGTCATCTGTGATGGATGTTTTAGTTGAGATCCCTGCATTGCAGAAGGTTGGGCCAGATGATCCTTGAGGGTCTACAGTTCTATGATTCTATGTCTTTGGATAAGGCGGGGGGGGGGGGAGTCAGAAATATTAGTCTATGACTTCAGCCTAGGGATGGGTGAGCAAAAGGCCATTCATGCAGTCCAACATTCAAAGAAAGAAACCTCTCAGGGATGGATTCCAAGATTTAGCAGAATGCTCAAAGGAGCCTAATTTTCCTGGAAGTTGTTGGACTACAACCCATCATCCTTGACCATTGGCCATACAACATAAGGAGGCACCACATCTTAAATTTTTCAAGTTAATACGTAGTCCTTTCCGAGTTTTGATGCTACTAATTAGGTAAGAGGAAACATTTATGGGGGGGAAATGTTTTTGCTTATTAAGTTTTTCATTGCCCTTTTCTGATGTAAACTGACCTCAACAGTGCCCAACACAACATGAGCGTAGTGGTGGTTTGGCATCATGACTTTGTTGTGATGCGTTGCTACAAGTCTAGGGATACATACACAAAAATAAGTGTACTATATATTTAAAGCAGTCGTATGCCACTTTAAACAGTCATGACTTTCCCTCAAAGAATCCTGGGGATTGTAGTTTGTTAAGAGTTCTGAGACTGTTAAAGGCAAAGGGTAAAGGGACCCCTGACCATTAGGTCCAGTCGTGGCCAACTCTGGGGCTGTGGCGCGGGGATTCGAACTGCCGACCTTCTGATCGGCAAGTCCTAGGCTCTGTGGTTTAACCCACAGCGCCACCCGGAGACCCCTATTTACCTCACAGAGCTACAGAACTTGAAAGTGCCTTCACTTTTGTGCCTTCACAAAAGTCAATCCCTCTTCCCAGGGAACTCTGAGAGCTGTAGCTCTGTGTGGGACAGGGGTCTCCTAACAACTCCCAGCGCCCTTAACAAATCGTTCCCAGGATTTGGTGGGAGGGAGCCATGATTGTTGAAAGTGACATGATGCTGCTTTAAATGCACAGTGCAGATAGGGCCTCAGTTGTAACCCTCCTTTGTACTCTGTTTACTTCCCTTACCACACTGGCTGATCTTGGAGTCTTAAATTTCAGCAGCGCCCTGAGGGATACCAAAATTCAGTACTCTCTGCCTCTCACCTTCCATTCTCTAGCATAGCTGTGCTGCCCCTTGTGGCATCTCTGAGGCTCTGCGCCTGGTACGACTGAACGGGTCGCGTGACCCTAAAACGTTCTCTGCTCACCATCACTTCCAAAACCCATGAGTGGAAAATGTCTGGACAGTATCTGTTGGGCTCTGTCTTTTTTAAATACTGGGGAGGAAAATTAAGAAATCATAAGAATGTAGAACAGATGAAAAAGAATAGACATCAGCTGCCACAGGCATATATTTTAAATAAATGTTTGAATTAAAACCGTACAAATGGAGAACAAAGAGACAAAATGCATTTTGCAAACTAAACAGGCTCTGTATAAATTGAGACAAACCAAACCATGCTTCGGAAGTTATTGAAGAGTCCTAAATTCTTCATTACGCCACTGACTGTTAGCTTGTAGAATTCTAGAAAAGCACCCTGCAGTTTGCACTAATTGGTGGGAAAAGGAGGTTCTGTGTCAAAGGCAACTAATTGTTTGATGGGAATAGCAAGCTTTCACATTCATATATACCACACCACTATATCACATCATTTTTTTGCATTCAGGGATTTATAAGGAGGTGTTATATTGTGCCACAGTTAATTGTAATGAGTTTATGGGCTCTGGTGCCCATATACATCTTGTTTACACGTGGGCAAGGTGATGTTACCAGTGAAAGGGCCTCTAAATGAGACTGTTGGGCATTTAACTAAAGACTTGCATTCTGCATAAGCAGCATACATAAAAGTGTATATTATGCAGATTTTTGAAACCTGTGTCTTCAGGAAGACACTGTTTTGACCATAATGCATTCTGTCATGTGAGATAAAATGCAGGGAGCATTTACATTTCTCCCACTCAGTAAGCTTCTACCACACGGCTTGCATTTTTCTCACATCAATAGACATCTTTTTAAACATTATATTTGTGTCTGTCTCTCTTGATGGCAAATAAAATTCAATAAATAAAATTCCTTATGATAAATAATGCTAGATTTACAAAGTGGCTTGATAAAGTGTGCTTGGTTTCAGGAGCGATTTGTTAAAAACAAATAAATTTAACAAGACATGCACACAAGCTCAAAATGTATTAATAGGTTGTAGATGATGCACAATAACATAATGACCCAAAAGACCATTTGCACAGTTGTTCACTCTGCTTAACTTACTGCCAAATCAGACAATTATTCAACAGAACCTGGGCCTGTTAGCTATGCTGAGCAGATCTTCGTTTGGCTGCTGGGTTATCAAACCAGTAGCTTTTGTGGATCTTCAATACGACAATGGGGCACGCTAGCATCAAAAACATCAAATATAATGTGGCATGTAGAAAAGACATTACAGGACATTAAACATTGGTACCGATTATAAACCACACTGTGTACTATGGTAAAAATGCATAGTAATTTACTGTGGTCCCAATCCTTCTACCTTTTAGAAAACAAAAAACAAAAGAAATAATTACTGGCATCATGTAAATGCACATAGTTTTATTTGATATTCTCATGTTATATGCAACATACTGCATTTATATATTAAGCACTTGGGGCCAGTTCACACTGTCAAACTGAAAAGGCTAATAGTTATTAAGTCAAAATTAGGAAACCATACTAAAAATCTAACAGATGAAATCACCTAAAGATTTAGGATTAATTTGCCAACTCTTTCCTTAAAATCCAATACGGCTTTTTACCATCTTTGTGCCAAGTCCTGCTTAGACTAGCCTGATTATTTTACTAGACTTTTAATAGAATATTTTTCCTAGCCTATTAACAGACTTCTATTATCTTAGTGGGTTATATTAATGGACTGTGGGTTGGTTGGTTTTTTAAAGACATCTACTGACTGTACTGGTAGAGGGACTGGTCTCTCTTCCTCTTACCTATCAACTGTGTTTTCCCAGTGGCCATGGAGAAAAGGACTTGCCTTCCTCCATGGCAAGCCTGAAAGCCAAGTGATACGTCCCTCCCTTACCATCTTCCTTGCTCGCCTGGTTGGGATTCCGTGCCCTTGCCTGGTGACCAGATGAGTAGTTAAATGCAAGCCAAGTATTCATTAACCCTCGATCTCCAGATGCTGGTGAACTACAATTCCTACCATCTTCAGCCAGCTCAGCCAAGGGACATGGATGATGGGAGCTATAGACCTATATCAGGGGTCCAAAGGAAACAAAATATGGGAATAACTTTTTCCAAATAGGAAAGTTTCAAATTTGAATTTCTACTGAAATGAGGCTGCATTTTAATGTTGTATTTTAATCAATTGTTTTTATACCTGGTGTTAGCTGCCCTGAGCCCAGCCTTGGCTGGGAAAGGCGGGGTATAAATAAAATTTATTATCATCATCATCATCAAAGCACAAGTACTTTGGTGAAGGTTGGTGTGGGGACTGTGATTCAGTCCATTTCCTTTATAAAGAGAAACAAATGGAAATGCTAGGTTCAAATTCCCTTTGGTTTAAGAACGAGCAATGTCTTCTGCTCATTCCCTCATGCTCCAAAACCAAGGAAACAGGAAGTTGTGTTTCCAGCCTCAACTTGTGCACCACGAGAGGGCAAAGACACTGGCCAGGAACCTGAGGCCCTTGGGACCATCCCAGGCCACAGCCTCACAGCCTTGCTCCACGCTCTCCTGAAGTGGTTTTGCCTGGAGGCAATGTGTTATTTATGGAGTGGTGACCATGCCTCCGGCTTATCTGAGCAGAGGAAAGAGAGGTAGCAGTGCATGTGTGATCTCAATAGGCAGGGATTTCCAAAGTGCAGGCACTGCCTCACTAAATGAGTTCTTAGAAATGCATAATGGGCATTATGTGGTACCTGTAGCAGTGCCAATTCCGCTGATCGAAGCAATCGAGTGGGCACACATGGAGTATATGAATCTCATAGGTGGGTGCACTCTTCCCACCTTAGATCAAATCTATGCTGCCAGGAGCCATAAGAAAGCGTCAGAGATAGCACATGATAGTGCGCACCCCGGAAATGATCTCTTTCAGCTTCTGCCTTCTGGAAGAAGGTATAGGGTTATAAAGGCCAGGACTAGCCACCTGAGAAACAGTTTTTACGCTAATGCAATTCTGGTTCTAAACGCAGCATAAGGGGTCTCTGTAGTATAGTGTAATTTAAAATGGGATTTTAGAGTTCTTGGGGGTTTTTGAACGTTTTATGTAGTTTTTATGTAGTTTTATGTAGTTTTTATGTAGTTTTGTGGTAGTTTTATGTAGTTTTTATGTAGTTTTATGTAGTTTTTCAATTTCATTGTTCCGCAAGGGACAATGACAATAAAGATATCGTAATCGTAATCATAGGTAAACTGGTCCCAAGTTGTTAAGGGCTTTGTATGCTAATAGTAACACCTTGATGTTGCTAACAAAATGGGTACAATTAGCACGGTCCCAATTAGTTAAGGCATGCCCAAGCAATCGGGTGAAATTTTTGCATAGCCTTTTAGAGTAACCGAGGGTTGTTTATAAGCTTCTTTCAAATTGGGGGAGGAAACGTCCTCCAAATGGTTAAGGCTTTTAAAGGCCACCCAAGAAGAAGAAAGTTGGTACACTCGTGGCACACTCACACTAATTACTAAAGAAGAAGTCAGAATATTTCTGCACCAGTCACAACCTGATATTTGCCTCATAAGGCAGGCCTTCATTCCAACACAGAACATCACAAAACCCATATGTGATGGAATGTTGGTCTCTGTGAGTGTTGTTGGATTTGAGGGAGAGAGACTTCTAGCTGCAGCATGGAAGTCATAGCTGGGCTTACAAACTCTTGCTTTGCGGAAGAACCATTGCCCTCCTTGCCAACATAAGCATTGAAAGATGGATTACTGAAAGCTGAGGCTCAGGATCAGGCCAGGGCATAAATGATTTAAATTGATACTTATGCTTTTTAAAAAAGCAGTTCAAAATATAATTACTTTTTGAAATCTGCAGGTATCCAAATTTCTACAGGTATCCAAACTTGCTAGAAAACCAGCAGCTTCTTTGTCATGTAATCTATTTAAAACTCTCTCCCCAACTTGGTGGATTCCAGATGTTTTGCACTACAACCAAAACATCTGGAGGGCACCAGGTTGGGGAAGATTGGTTTAGAAGATTTGTTAATACTACTAAAAGTGTTCTGCCTCCCTTCTGCTGACATCTTTGCGAAAACAGTGTACTACTTGCTGTTGCCATATAAATGGTTAAAACATTGAAATGCATTGAAGAACTTATATGCTAACACATCAGCCCAGTTATAATTTGGAGACAATGAATAATATATTTCAGACAAAGTGAAGGCAGCTATAGAATTAAACTAAAATAGAAAAATTACGCCCACAAGGCATTTAAATTTAGGAGCTGAATAAGTTATTCACACATTAAAAGGTTCATATATTTCAAAGAAAGCATTAAAAAGTTTCTTTCTAAGGAAAAAAACTGAGAAACTAACAAAAACTAGGATAATTCTAAACAAGGCCAAAGCTGGGATGGAAACTTATTTAACAGAGCAAACTTATGCGTGCTTCCTTAGAAACAAGTACCACACTATTCAGTGAAAGTTACTCCCAGGTAAGCATTCATAAAGTCTTATAAAAGCTGCAATCATATATCCCCTTATTCACTTGATGAAATGCTTGTTAATTGTTGTGACTGCAAGGCCAGCTGTTTTGTACCTATAAGTGCAGCAGTTCTTTCACGTGAACTCCTTACTATCAATAAAGCTGTGCTGTGAAATATTTGCTGCCATTGGTGGGAACATCCACTTGATGAGTCGTTTTTCCTCTGATATACTTTATGCCCAACAAACAGCTGCTCTGGAGGACTGGAGCAGCATGAGATTCTCTGCTTACTCTCAGTTCTGTCTGTGAACAGAAGGAGCCCTTCCATTTGTAGAAGCCTAGTCAGGATCAAAAGCAATGTGACGCAACCAGCTACCCTTTTGTTTAGTATCTTCTGCACCTTCCTTTGCTTCATAATGTAAATGTTTTATGTGGCAACAATAGCATGGGGGGGCAACACATTTGGGCCCCTGTGGAGGCCCACACCTGAGCAAGAGGCCTACTGTGAATAGGATATCCTACTTTAGAGGACCATCCTCAGGTAGAAGGATTGCCTATTCCAAGGGTGGATCTAAACATGGGGGGGGGGGGAGGACAACGCTATAAATAAGCCAGAAATTAAATCATTATAACAAAAGAAAAAAACGCTATGGAAAATTGCATAGAACTTTGTTTTGCTCTATAGCGCCATCTGGTGTTGCATGCTTATAACGCATTCAAAACACCTTTTTTTGACTAATGTACCTGAGTCCCAAGTCTAGTCTAAAATAAAGGACCATATCAAGAGAGAGCAGCTGGGGCTTTGGAGCTGCCCATCAACAGTTAGGAGAGACTGTCCTCCCTTGAGGCATGTTGAGGGAGCCCCCTTGGGTGCTGCCACACAACCCAAATAAGGGAGGCTGCAGCGGCAGGGCATGGCACCTTCCTCTTTCTCCTCAGGTGGCAAAATGGGCTAGGCTGTCCCTGACAGCATCTGGAGCAGACTGAGCAGACACACAGGTGTTGTATTGTATTCTATTTAAAGTAGAATCATGATTTCAAAACTTGCATCTGTACCTAAACAATAGGATGTGCATATTTTATGCAAATCTCTGACTTCATTTGTCCTCTTTTTTGATGATGCATTTCCACTCTTTTAAGTGCCATGTAAGTGGTCACCCATAAAAGCAGGGGCTGTTGGCCTTTTTCAGCCCAGCAGCCGCATCAACAGTTGACGCTGCCCGTCCCCCTGGAAATCATGCAAAATTGGCAGTGGCCAAATTACACTTGTGCACACACATGCCACCACCATGCATATAGGACATACACGTGCACTCAACAAGAGGGACATACAGGCATGCATACATTCATAGGTATATGCAGGCAACTGTACACACACATTCAAGGAACTTGCATGAGGGCAGGAACGATAAATGTAGCTAAAACAACAGCCAAAGTACCAAGAATGGGAGCCCTTTTCACATTCTCCTAAAGCCTTACCTTGGAAGGAGCAGAGAGAGAGGGAGAGAGAGAGGAATCTCTGTGTACATAAACAGACAGAGACGTGTCAGGCGACCAGTGTAGATACCTACACTTTAATATTGCCCCCTTCCTCTGCTCATCAGAACAGCCTGATGTACGGCTGGAGAGGCAGATCAGATCTCCATCATCATGCTGGGGCTTAACATTGTGAGGACAGGGCAATACCTGGATACTTTATTTTATTTTTAAAAAGGAAGATGGCACAGAGGCCCAACTGTTGGGGAGCAGGTCTTGAAAGACCTACACTGGCTCCCAGTACGTTTCCAAGCACAATTCAAAGTGCTGGTGATGACCTTTAAAGCCCTAAACAGCCTTGGTCCAGTATACCTGAAGGAGAGTCTCCACCCCCATCATTCTGCCCGGACGCTGAGATCCAGCTCCGAGGGCCTTCTGGTGGTTCCTTCACTGCGAGAAGCCAAGTTACAGGGACCCAGGCAGAGGGCCTTCTCGGTAGTGGCACCCGCCCTGTGGAAATCCCTCCCACCAGATGTCAGAGAGAAAAACAACTACCAGACTTTTAGAAGACATCTGAAGGCAGCCCTGTTTAGGGAAGCTTTTCATAGAATCATAGAGTTGGAAGAGACCACAAGGGCCATCGAGTCCAACCCCCTGCCAAGCAGGAAACACCATCAGAGCACTCCTGACATATGGTTGTCAAGCCTCTGCTTTTAATGTTTAATAGATTAAAAAAAAGGTAAAGGTACCCCTGCCCGTACGGGCCAGTCGTGTCCGACTCTAGGGTTGTGCGCTCATCTCACTTAAGAGGCCGGGAGCCAGCGCTGTCGAAGACACTTCCAGGTCACATGGCCAGCGTGACAAAGCTGCTCTGGCGAGCCAGCACCAGCGCAGCACACGGAAACGCCGTTTATCTTCCTGCTATAAAGCGGTACCTATTTATCTACTTGCACTTAAGAGTGCTTTCGAACTGCTAGGTGGGCAGGAGCTGGGACCGAAAGACGGGAGCTCACCCCGCCGCAGGGATTCGAACCGCCGACCATGCGATCGGCAAGTCCTAGGCACTGAGGTTTTACCCACAGCGCCACCCGTGTCCCTTGTTTAATAGATTATTGTATTCTAATATTCTGTTGGAAGCCACCCAGAGTGGCTGGGGAAACCCAGCGGGGTATAAATAATAAATTATTATTATAAAGAGTTCGGCAGATTGGATAAGGCCATTAGTCATGGGTTTGCCACCCCTTTACTAAATCCTCTCACCCTGCTGCTTCTTTTCACTGCTGCCACTTCCTGTTCGGTTGTCCCTTCTGGGGGGGAAAGAAGAGGCACCAGCCTCTGGGAAGGTTACGCCCAAAGGAAACGGGAAAGCAAATGGAGTAGCAAAAAGGAAGTCAGCCTAGCAAGGGTATTTTGTTCAGGACCTCCCAAACCATCTAGATTTTGTTGGCCACATTGGGCATGTGGCTTTTTCGTTCTATTTTTTAATCTATTTATTCTGTCTATTTCTTCCAAGGAGCTCAAGGGGTGTCTACATATTTATCCCCCTCATTTTACCCTCACAACAACCCTGTAAGGTAAGTTAGGCTGACAGGCAGGGACTGGCCCAAGGTCACCCAGTGAGCTTCATGGCTGACTGTACATTTGAACCCTGGTCTCCCAGGTCATAGCCCAACACTCTAACTACTATGCCACACTGACTCTCTAGATCTGATAATCTCACTTCTTCCCAGATGCCTTTGCTGAAATGTGCTCACACAGAAATTGGTGGGGCTTTAACAGCATAATCGAGTTCATGACTACTCAGAAGTAATTTGTGTTGAGTTCAATGGTTTTTACTTGCAGGTCAGTGTGTATAGGATTGTGGCATAAACTGGCTACTTGGGCTGGATAATGTCTCTTCTTTTCCTTTACGTGCCCATATTATATTTTGCTAGCTGTTTGCTCCCCCCGCCCCCCAATAAGCATATCCCCATTATTTATTTCATTCCTCGATTTAATATTTCCCTGATTTCCTTCTGTGGAAATTCCTCCCCACTCGGAGGATGACAATGAAGATTAAACTCTCAGCGTGGGTCTCCTTCAAAAGCCCTGCCGAGCATAAGGGTGCCATTGTTTTTCCACAGCAGCCGTTTGTTATAATTCTCGCCTTCCAAAATCTGCACCACTGTAATTTGGTACTGCCTTATAATTAAATCTGTGATTTCACATTAACTGAAATCAACCATTTGGAGAAAATATGCAAGACTCATTCACTGGCCTTTCTGAATCTCTTTTTCACAATTGCAAACTCCTGGTCAAACAAATTAAATTACCGCAGCAATATGTAACTCATTTTATGCAAATTAAGGTATTAATGTTCTGAATCATATCCATGAGAATCATCTGTGGGTATTTTTTTTTTTTTTTACCCTTGTAGCTTTCTGCCTTCAGTGCTTCTACGAAACAGCAAAACTGATGCTTAATTTCTGAAAAACTAATTTGACTGGTGTTAACTTTTGGTGTATAAAAGAATATCCACGTAAATATCTTTCGACATTCTATACTTTTCAGAAGCTGCTTTCTGCATACCATAATAGACAACATCAGTTGCTTGTATTCTGCAGCACACTTTTCATCTTTTCTCATCAGTGATGGGTGCATGATTACTATAAATAATTAATTTGATTGTTTGTTTATTTTCAAGTATTTTTTATCTTGCATAGATATAGATATATAGATATAGATATGAATGATACTATGATAACCAATACTGCTAGCAAAATCAAAACCAATCAAAATCACAATTTGTTCTAGAATTACACTAATACATTTAAAATAATTAAAAGCACTATGGTGGGTACATAATAATTTAACACAACAATTAAGCAATGAAATAAATATCAATAAGAATGACAGACCATTAGGGGAGCAATCCTACAGCCAGGGTTTGGATGGCTGAAGGGCACCTGGAAGCTGGCAGAGAGGGAGGCCCCTGGTTGGGGGGCACTCCGTGTACCCCTGCAGAAAGGACATGGGCATACTGCCACCAGTGTCCTGCCACAAGGAGAAACTGGGCACTCTGGCAGGGGTGGGGGTGGGGGTGGGACACTTCATTGCCCCAACATGCCCCAAAACAGGCCCTGGAGCTTGCATTAATTTCTTCTCACGGACCACAAACATGGAGAAAGGGGACACAAACACAGAGAGAAGCTTTGGCAGAGTTTAGCAAGCTGGCAGAGTTCAGGAAGTAGTGTAGCCCCACTATGGAGTCCCACCCACCATTGCTACCATAGGATGGATGTATACATTTTCATGACACCCCAAAGTCCTCTTAAATAAAGGGTCTTTGTCTTTCTTCAGAAGGCCAAAAGCATGGAAAAGGAGGACAGATGGACCTTCCAGAGAAGAGAGCTCAGGAGCCTGTGGGCAACCACTGAAACCACTTTCTTGTCTAACCATCTGCCCCAAATCAGATGCAGAAGAAACTCTGATTTCTAAGTCCTCAGGCATGAGCCTATTGGAATAGGCAGGCCTTCAAGTATCCCAGGCTATTTACAGTTCTAAAGGTTGATAGCAGCATTATGAATTATGCCTGGAAAAACTGAAGATAGTACCATTACTGGTTACAGGAGATAATATTGGGCTATATGGACCAGTATAAGGCAGTTACAGGTGGACTAGATCAGAGATGGGTAACCTGTGGTCCTCCAGATGTTGTTGGATTCCAGCTCCCATCCTCCTTGACCACTGACAATGCTGACTATAGAATTTAAAAAATGAAAATAAGAAAACCAAGAAAACCAACCCAAACAGCAGCAGATGCTGGCAGAGATTCCACACCTTTTGCTATGGACCTGTAGGCAGATTGTACTTATTGCTACAGGGTTTTTTTAAGTTTATGATTGCTTAAGCTATTTTGTTGGTGCTTTTAGCAGCCTTTAATTGGTTTGATGGTATGCTTTATTGTTTTATAACTAGTGATTTCAAGGCTGTTTATTTAATATATGGAACCCCACCCTGTATTTTACCTGGTTTTTAATACAAGACTAGTTGCTTCATAGATCCAGGTGTGATCTGGTGGGGGAGCTCTGTGTATACTAGTGGATTTCCCTCTTGCCTTAAACTACATGAACAGAGGTGGGAAAATCACTACCCAGTTTCTCAGTACCGATAAACTGATTCATATTCTCTGTATGAATAGGGTAATGAGCTGCAAAATCCCCATTTTCTGTGGCATCACATATCCACCTTGGTCTTATGAATCTCCACCAAAAAAGCAGGCAGCTATGGATGAAAGAAAGAAATGGTAAAATGGCACTTTTCAGCAATCTAAATGATCTTCAAAAGAGGACTACGAAATAGTCTGTGGAAGTCACACGCTTGCTAAGAGATGTAAACCACATCATTTGTGTGAAAGCGGCGTCAAATTAGGGGATTCCCAAAGTATTTCTCCAGCCATGATAAATATCCCATCACAGGCGGAAGGCCCAAAGATAGTTCTGTGGTTATTGTTCCCCTTTGTCCTGTCCAAGCCAAGACATTTGGCCTCTTCAGGCAAAACAGAAAATGGTATGCGTCCCCCATCACTATCACCTGCACCACCACCTGAGACAACAGGAGGTGACCCAGAGAAGTCCCATCATGCTGAAGACTGCAGAGGATAGAGAAAGGAGGCTGGAGAGCAGTAGGCAGTGACAGCCCCGCTCTTTCCAAGCATCAGCCATGGGTGATAAATGCTGGAGACGGTGAGCAGTGTGCTCCTTTGGGGGCCTGGATCTGCTACCCCTCCCACCTGTCCCCAGCCTGCTGCCAGAGGTGACTGCCTCACTGAGGCCAAGAGGTCCAGTCCCTACTCCAGGCTGACCAACCATTTTCAGCCTGAGGGTCATCTTCCAATCTAGGCGACTTTCTGGCAGCCACAGAAACGTGTCGGTGGTGGCCAGAGGCAAAACTGGGTGGAGGAACCAATTTCCTTTGCACCACAGGCTAGTTTCTACATAAATCCATGCACCCTTCTCTATCCTCCATGCAAGTAAGAGGCAGAGTTTAAGGATACATTCTAGCCAGACAAAAACCATGGAAAAGGGTGGGATGCAAAGTCAGAGAAGGTTGACCTGGAGAGGGTTGTGGCTGGGGAAGGTCTGTGGTGTGGGCAGACTCATGGAGAGCGCTTTTGGCCACTGGACCTGAGGTCTCCCCTGCGATGTTTGATAACAAGAAGCTAACTTTTTCAGCACCAGGCACAACAATATGCTAGCCAAACAGCCCAAAGATTGATGTGTTTATCCCTTGGAATTGTGGAATTTGCAAACATAAAGAATTTGAAACAAATTATTAGAATGTGCTCCTGTCCCCCTCCAGGCGCCTTGAAATCAACAATTCATTTGTAACCTTCACTGTTCATGGCAGTAATCATGCATTCCTCGTATTATTATATTTTTATGGAACTCCTAATTGTCATTAGTATCACTGCGAAGTTAAACCAACTTTTACAGATGAGACCTGCCTTTCCGATAGCAGCTGTGACATATATCTCACCAAAGGAACTTTTTGTGAAATCATTGCAAAATGAACCTCTTTGGCTGTATTTTTTTTAAAAAAAAAACAGACAAAGGGAGAGAACAGTCAGCCTGAGATTTACACCTGATTTGTGTTATAGTAATCTTTGAAATTAAGAAGTGTATCCTTGCATTTCATTAAATTCCAGCTAATGAGATAACTGTCTTTTCCAAGGAGGGAGTGATGAAGTACTCATGCCATAAAGCATAAATTAATGCTGCAAGGTTAAACACTGGAACTAACTCATGTTTCAACAAAGGCCCCTACCAGCAGTTAAATTAACTGACATAAATACCATAAAATCTGTCTTTATTTTAGTCTCAGATGATGCTTCTTTTTACACCCCTGCTTTCAGTTTGTATAACTCATTTTTGCACATTACTGCATGCACCATTTGCCATTTAAAGAATCAGCTACAACTGGGGGGAAATTGAGGAATCAAGTGTTCAGGGAGGGGGAACCAACGGGTATAAGGGATACCTTTCCCAATACTCGTAACAGCACTGGCATTCTTCTTCTTCTTCTTTTAATGCAACAGTAGACAAGTGCAGTTCAAAGAAAAGGACAATTATGAGAAAGCCAAATCCAAGAAGTCTACTTTTTCAGGGATTTTGATAGACATCTTGAAAAAAAAATGATAAAGAAAACCTGTGGTGATAATAGGTTTGATATATATATTCTAGCAAAAATTATATCACATTAATGAGGTGGCTTAAAGGGCTCATGCATTTTGTAGGAGGCATTTCAATGTATTAGTATAATTAGCAGTGATGAGAAAACTGTTTGGAACTGAATTACCTCTCATGAGTTCATTTGAGCTATATGAAATTACACCATGCAAGAAGGAAAATTATGGAGCCATCCAGAGAGAGTTCATGCCTGATTTGATCATAGCCACTAATTGGATGATCATTTTCCTAAAGCTTTTCAAATGGTTGACAGCTTTCTGCCTCTCGTTTTTTTTTAATGGACTGGGTCTTTATTTCTTGTTCTAAGCAACCAAACATACGCTTGTGTGCGATTTTGGTATTTCTACAGAGACCTACAGGTGTAATTGTCACAATCTGAGCAACCTTTGTCCCTTAATTAGCTGCTTTTGGGGAACCCCTAATGAGAGTTGCTGTTCTTGTTAACAATCTTAGAGAATACCTGATGGGTAAAACTCTCCGAAGTCTGAGGCATGTCAGCAGACACCATATGACAGCAATTTAATGAAGTTAAAAACTGCCCTGATTCAGATCGCTGGAGTAGCATCTGTGTTGTATAGCTTTTGATTCCTGTTAGTCTATTTAAATCACGCATACACACACACACACACACACACATCCATGAATTGAGTGTTCCGGTGAAGGATAACAGAAAGGTGAAGGATACAGAAAGGAGAGCTTATTAATGGAAATATTTTATGAGCTCTATTTCTGCGCCTCCTAATATCCAATACCACAGAGGGAATTGAAACTGTGGTACCCTTCTTCAGATAATTTACTTTAAATGGAAAGCATTATCTGTGTAAAATCTGGCAAACGGATGGCTAAATATTTGGTTCATTTCCCATTTTCGTATATGCATATACATATGAATCCTTTGTAATATTTTGGGATTGGGATCTTTGGCGGCTTCTGATATATATATAGCTAGATAGAAAGATAGTCATTTTCTTTCTTTTATCGCAAGCATATTGCAACCAGATTCAGGGTTGGTGTCATCCTGAGTGGAAATCATTATTACCTAAAAATAGTACTTTCACAAAGAGAGGGTTTGACCCAGAAAGCCATGAAGGAAAATCACTTTAGAGAACGAAGTGCTATCTAGTTGTTGTGCCCCCCCCCTTCCCTGTCCCCCTGCCTTGTACCAAAATGTGCTGCATTTCTGCAAAAAGAAGGCTTCATGGTTGGAACATTCATCTCTGTTAAAGATGCCATGTAGAAGCTGAAAAGATTTAGGGCAACACTCACGTGAACTTTTAAAATTCGTTCATTCTTCTACACCTGTTACAATAGTGCTAGGCAACTAATTCAGATTGCTTAAATGTCCTCTACGTGAAGCTGCCCTTAAAGATTGTCTGAAGAGTGCAAAATGCAGAATGTAGCAACTTCCCAATTTCACAACACCCCTGTTTCTCAACACTTACCTGGCTGCCTATTTTGTTTTCCTTTTAAGGTGCTGGTATCAAGCTGTGATCAGGACGCGGGTGGCGCTTTGGTGTAAAACTCTGAGCCTTGGGCTTGCCGATTGGAAGGTTGGTGGTTTGAATCCCCGTGACGGGGTGAACTCCCGTTGCTCGGTCCCAGCTCCTGCCAACCTAGCAGTTTGAAAGCATGTCAAAGTGCAAGTAGATAAATAGGTACCACTCCAGCGGGAAGGTAAATGGCGTTTCTGTGCACTGCTCTGGTTTCACCAGAAGCAGCTTAGTCATGTTGGCCACATGACCTAGACAAACATCAGCTCCCTCAGCCAGTAAAGCGAGATGAGTGCCGCAACCCCAGAGTCGTTCGCAACTGAACTTAACTGTCAGGGGTCCTTTACCTTTTTTATCAAGCTGTGGAGTTTAGGAATGGGCTACCTGAAGCACTGCCTACATCTATTGACATCCAAGCCCCTTCTCTCAGAATAGTAGAGTTGGAAGGGATCCTGAGGATCGTCTAGTCCAAACTCCTGCAATACAGGAATCTGAACATGACAGATGGCCATACAAACTCCATTTAAAACCCTCTAAGGAAGGAGAGTTCACCAGCACCTCTGGTGGGAATCTGTTCCACTGTTGAAAAGCGTTTACTGTCAGAAAGTTCCTCCGGAGTCGGAATCTCTGTTCTAGTTGAACCATACACTCATATGTTATTCACAAGTAATGTCCAATGAGTGTACAGTTTGTTTAGCCATGTTTACAGTGCATACAGTAGCTGAGCTGTACAAATCAACAAGTGATTCACACAAACACTCAGACATGTGTAGAGGCAGTTTGTACCCATTATTTTCTGCATAATGTCGCCGGCTCCCTTGGCCAGTAAAGCGAGATGAGCGCCGCAACCCCAGAATCATCCGTGACTGGACCTAATGGTCAGGGGTCCCTTTACCCTTTACCTTTACCTAGGGCATCCACAAAGACTTTTTAATTATTATTTTAAATGGTTTTCTTTTTTGGATAATTTAATGGTGCTATGATTTAACAAACATTTTCATCTGCTTCTGCTATATTTTAATGGTATGTATGCATGTTAATGTTAACATTGCTTATTTATTAAATTTTTTATATTGCCTTTCTGCAAAGACATCTAAGGCGATTTGCACCTTAAAATATTAACACATACAAACAGTACAAAATAGTCTCAGGCGCACTTTGGAAGCATGATGGAACATTGGCTCCCTGGCCTGAGCATCTCTACTTCCACTTCAAAGGATACATGGAATTATAGGATGCAGAAGAATTAAGTTACAGTGTGGATTTGTTTTGTTTTCTTGCATACATACATAGTGTTTACATCATACTTTGAATTAAAATACACTATTCTGAGCTTTTCTAGAGTTAATTGTCACCCTTAATAACGTATGCATGCTGCACTCAATACCGTTGCGAGCAGATCTGAGAACAAAGGATGCAATGCAGTTACCCAAAGGGGCGACAGATGTAAAAAGAACTGCTGGATACTTTTGGTTATCTGCTTGAAACACAAGATAGAAGACTGTCAACTGGGAACATAACATACCTTGTGACAGGACAGCATGTCACTGGCTATAAGATATCAATAACACTCATCCAAGTAACTTCCAAGTGTATTTCATCAGTATAATGTGATATCATTGCCCGTGATAAAAATTATGGTCTTCTTAAACCATGACCTCATACTAGAGGTAGCAATCTGAAACTTCCTCTAGTAATTAATCAGGTTCATAGTAATATGGCAGAAACCTGGCAACAAACTGCACTGGGTCTGAAAACCTTGCCACTGCATTATATATACATTCATACGACAACTTCACACCAGCTAGGTTAAAAAATAAAATGAACTGGCTTTCTCTAAATACAAACAAAGCCTGCTGTGTTTTCTGTGCAATATTTCAGCTAAATGAACAGCAAGGAAAGGTGTCATCCCATCACACTTTCAATACCTGGCTGTTTGTAGGGTTGACAGGTTGGAGAGCAGGTGTTGGGAACCACTAGCCCTCCAGACGTTTGTTAACTATGACTCCCCTCAGCCCCACCTCATATGGCCAATGGCTGAGGATGATGGGAAGCCAGAACTGACACCTGTATGTTTTGGGCCCTCCAAATGTTGTTGGACTCCACATCCCATCAGTCTCATCAGTCCTAGCCGGTGTTGTCAAAAGTTAGGAATGATGGGAATTGCGGCCCAGCAACATACGGAGGGCTGTAGGTTCCCCAGCCCTGGTTAAAACTAAGGCACAAGCAGGATAGAGCATGATGGGGTGAACTAGGAAGTACAGTCATACCTCGGGATAAATGTGCTTCAAGTTAAGTATTTTTGGGTTGTGCTCTGCAGCAACCCGGAAGTAACGGAGCGCGTTACTTCTGGGTTTTGCCACACGCGCATGCGCAGATGGTCAAAATAACGTCACGTGCATGCGCAGAAGCGGCAAAACATGACCCGCGCACACGGGTTGCGTTCGCTTCAGGATGTGAACGGGGCTCCGGAACGGATCCCATTCGCAACCCAAGGTACCACTGTACCAGAAAGCAAGTACAAGCGAATAGTCTGGAATCACAAAGGGCCTTCCAATAGCAACACAGTGGTCAAGCTAAAGAACTGTGGCAAGTTTTGGCCAGAGGCGGAGCGGCGCACATGCTGAGCACCCGGGGGTGGGACGAGTGTCCCACGGGGGGCGCTGCCCACTGCAAGAGTCCTAGGGGGGTGGGGCAGCGATAGCACACACCCCAGGGATGACACAAGGGGCTGACTGCACCCCCTGCACCCCCTTCCTCCGCCAGTGGTTTTGAAACTATTTAGCAGGCAATGGCATAGGATCACTGAATCTAAAGATAAAGAGGATTCTGCTCTGTAGAATCTGTATCCTGGCTCAAATTGTCTGCAGATAAAAGAGGCCTACTTGCAGAATTATTAGGGAGCCTGAATATTATTTCTGTTCATATATTATATTAAAAACAACTCCACCAGTACCTTTGAACTGCATTCTGGGTTACACCATTTACTCATTTGTTTTCCAGGCTGCTGAATGTGAACGGTCATGGATGCAGCATGAAACAGCTCTGCTGGATTTTAAAAATAAAAGCAGATTCCCTTTTGTAATCTACCAAGCCTTGGCAGAAAGCTGGTATATAAATGAAATAAATAACAATGGAAAGAATTCAACATTGTAGTACAGCGTTCCATCAGCACAAACACTTCTGCTTGCCCGACGTAAATACCTCCCCTCTTCACCCCATTTTCTGTCCTGGGGATTCTCCCAGCCCCCCAAGAGCTGGTTTAGGAGGTGCAGGGGGGAAGAGAGGAGGGAAGCCACGTTGCACTAGCAGGAGCCCTTGCGCTGGCTCCCACTCGCAGAACAACTTAGTTCAATCTGGCCCAGTAATAATAACTCAGCCATATATGGGCTGGATCTACACACATCAAAGCAGCGTTTTAGTTAAACGCATTGTAAACTTTGTGTGAGAAATCGCGTTGGCAAAAACGTAACTCCACAGCGCCATCTGGTGTCACAGTGTTGTGATGCGTACACAACACATAAAAAAACACTTTAGCTACCAGCACAGGACTGCAAAAACCTGGACATTGTCAACTTAGTAGGCCACAATGTTTGACCGATGGTTTGCATTCAGCTTGGTGGGCCACACTGTGCAAGTCTTGTTCTGTGGGATGCAACACATTTTATGCCACAGCCAGGCCACCCGATGGATGGCTTAATCAGCACCCGGCAGATTTCCAGCTTCCCCTGCCCATAGCCATCCCTTTTATTTCAGAAGACACTGCTCTTATTTAGCAAGTGCCAAAAGGCAAGACGTACTAACATTTTTGCAGACATTTCTTAGTTACACTAAAGGATCGACTCTTCTGTACTCCAGCGGAATATTAAAAGCCAGCACTGTTTAAAGCTGCAGGGGAAAGTAATTAGGTGCAACAGAAACTGTGGCTTTCCCGCAAAGACATAAAAATACACAGTGCAGATAAATGTATCTCCATCAATGAATAATGTTACTGGATGATATCTGCGTGGTTGCTGGTTTTATTTATTATTTATTTATTAACTGCATTTATATAGCTGCCCCAGAACAGAAGTTATTTGATAGCTTGCAAAACAAAAACAAAAAGTACTGTGTGAAACAATAGAAGATATAGCAAGTTAATTAAAAAGCTGAAATGTAATTAAAGCAAAATTTTGAACTGAAAGGCTCAAAATGATGCTTATGCCTGTCTCTCATTTTGTCATTTATTTACAAGGTTTAAATCGATTTAACCCATGAATGCTTGTCAGTGCCTCTGGTTCTTTATCAGTTGCTAATCAATGTATAATTCTTAATCAATTCTGGAGCAATGCTGTAATGCTGCTCATTGCTATTTTGTCTCTTCATTGATAGCTTAGTCACATGTGCTGCAAAGCAGGCGTACCACTCGTGTCACAGAAAATAAAATATATCACATTCCCAAAACTGATTCTAGATGCTTTCCTATGCATTTTGGTGGAAGGTTGTTGGGCACGATATCAACAAAGTGATCAGACTGAGCATGAAAATCAGGTTACATTTCATCCTTTGACGATGTTATATTCATTGCTCTGTCACACTCCTAGATCCTCAGTGTGGTATCACCAAAGTGAACACATCCTGGCAGGTCTAGTAATGATGATACATTCATAATTTTCATCTGACATTGCTGTGCATATTCTGTGTGCAGCTAGGTGATCTTGTTACTTCAGTGTTAAGATTAAATTATTCTGCACTCATCTGCTTTGAAGGTTGTAGAATGCTCATGTTTATATTATTTGTTATTAAGAGGACATTCAAGGATATTCTGCATCAAATTCTGTGCAAATCATTCTTGTATATAGGTTTCCACAGCTTTTCCTTAATCCATTTCAGGGATGATGCCAAGACGGAGCAACAAAACTATCACACTGCTACATTCCAAAGGAGTTGTTGTTTAGTCGTTTAGTCGTGTCTGACTCTTCGTGACCCCATGGACCAGAGCATGCCAGGCACTCCTGTCTTCCACTGCCTCCCGCAGTTTAGTCAGACTCATGTTGGTAGCTTCGAGAACACTGTCTAACCATCTTGTCCCCTGTCATCCCCTTCTCCTTGTGCTCTCAATCTTTCCCAACATCAGGGTCTTTTCCAGGGAGTCTTCTCTTCTCATGAGGTGGCCAAAATATTGGAGTCTCAGCTTCAGGATCTGTCCTTCCAGTGAGCACTCAGTGCTGATTTCCTTAAGAATGGATAGGTGTGATCTTCTTGCACTCTATGGGACTCTCAAGAGTCTCCTCCAGCACCATAATTCAAAAGTGTCAATTCTTTGGCAATCAGCCTTCTTTATGGTCCAGCTCTCACTTCCATACATCACTACTGGGAAAACCATAGCTGTAACTATACAGACCTTTGTTGGCAAGGTGATGTCTCTGCTTTTTAAGATGCTGTCTAGGTTTGTCATTGCTTTTCTCCCAAGAAGCAGGCGTCTTTTAATTTCGTGACTGCTGTCACCATCTGCAGTGATCATGGAACCCAAGAAAGTAAAATCTCTCACTGCCTCCATTTCTTCCCCTTCTGTTTGCCAGGAGGTGATGGGACCAGTGGCCATGATCTTCGTTTTTTTGATGTTGAGCTTCAGACCATATTTTGCACTCTTCTCTTTCACCCTCATTAAAAGGTTCTTTTGTTCCTCCTCACTTTCTGCCATCAAGGTTGTGTCATCTGCATATCTGAGGTTGTTGATATTTATTCCGGCAATCTTAATTCCGGCTAGGGATTCATCCAGCCCAGCCTTTCGCATGATGAATTCTGCATGTAAGTTAAATAAGCAGGGAGACAATATACAGCCTTGTCATACTCCTTTCCCAATTTTGAACCAATCAGTTATTCCATATCCAGTTCTAACTGTAGCTTCTTGTCCCATATAGAGATTTCTCAGGAGACAAATGAGGTGATCACGCACTCCCATTTCTTTAAGAACTTGCCATAATTTGCTGTGGTCAACACAGTCAAATGCTTTTGCATAGTGAATGAAGCAGAAGTAGATATTTTTCTGGAACTCTCTAGCTTTTTCCATAATCCAGCGCATGTTTGCAATTTGGTCTCTGGTTCCTCTGTCCCTTCGAAATCCAGCTTGCACTTCTGAGAGTTCTTGGTCCACATACTGCTTGAGCCTTCCTTGTAGAATTTTAAGCATAACCTTGCTAGCGTGTGAAACTCCAAAAGCAGAAAAGGACACTACCAACTTTTCCCTTGCTGATGTCAGCTTCCTGGGTGCGCTGTCTGAGAAAGTTTCAAAATTTGAAATAGCTTTGAAATTCTTTACACACCTGCACACACTTACTTCTGAGTATATAGGATTGCACTTTAAGCATCCATAAACAAAAAGATAGATAAGGAGCCTATAGCAGGACTATGGGGATAAAGTCTAGTGTAAACTCAACCCTTTTGTTTCTCATCAATTCATTGATTAGCCTGTTTCTCTTAAAACAGTTATATGCCACCTTCTATTCAGAGTATTTCAAGGCAGCTCACAGGAAGACTATAAAATAACTGAGGGAAAACAACACTGACATGAATGTATTAAAACAACAGTGTAACAACATCTACAGCAGCCAGTGTTTATTAACAGCACAGATTTAGTGTCTAGAAAACACTTGGGCAAACCAGTTCTTCTCATCAGTTATGGAAGAAAGGCTGTAGCTCAGCAGTAGAGCACATGCTTTGCATGCAGAAGGTTCCAGGTTCCGCATCTTCAGGTAGAGCTGGGAGCATTCCCTGTCTGAGACCATGTCAGTCGGTGCGGACAATACTGAGTTAGATGGACCAATCATCTGACGCAATAGAAGGCAGCTTCTTGTGTTCTGTAGACACCAGCCTGCACAAGGATGAGCACAGTCCGAAGGCAGATGTTAATAAAGTGGGATTGATATAGGTATGGATTTTGTATCCCATCTTTCCATCATAAAATTCAAGGTGATGTCCATGGAAGTTCCATTCTTTTTTCATTTAAAGGACTGGGATGTGCTCACTGTGGGCTCCACAGGAATTTGCCAGAGAAAGGCAAAGGTTTCCATGTGTATCCTTCAGTTTGCATTCTGCCATGGTGACCAAAGTTATGTTAGATACCACTCCAATGATAGCAACTCAAACTCCAGGCCAAAGATCCCTACTGTAAACTCGCAAGGTATCATAGCTACACAATGGGCTATTGCCTGGTCTTTCTGACTTCAACCAAACCATTATTTACAGTCTGCACAGTGGTACCTCGGGTTAAGAACTTAATTCATTCTGGAGGTCCATTCTTAACCTGAAACTGTTCTTAACCTGAGGTACCACTTTAGCTAATGGGGCCTCCTGCTGTCGCCGTGCCGCTGCTGCATGATTTCTGTTCTCATCCTGAAGCAAAGTTCTTAACCCGAGGTACTATTTCAGGGTTAGCGGAGTCTGTAACCTGAAGCATCTGTAACCTGAAATGTCTGTAACCCGAGGCACCACTGTATCCCCCTTTAACTTGGCAGAGGATTCATAATCCTCTTGAATTCTACCCAGAAAGGACTGTAGGCCTGGAAAGTCCGCAAGGAACCCTGCTGGACTTTTCCCTTCTCCAGTGGGTTCATTGAACCAATGCAGAAGTGGTTCAAGGGCAGGGCAGCACAGGCAGGGCAGCACTGTTGACCAGGCATCTCAACAGGACAGAACTGCTGAGAGGGGAAGGGGCAAGGCCGCAGGGAACTCAGGGCAGTGTGGGCATGACGCCAGAGCAATCTATCATTTCTGCCACAGTGTGTGCACACTGCCTTGCCCTCCCCCTTTCAGTACCCATCAGCGATGGCAAGAAGCTGCCCCATCTGCACCACAGGCTGCCACTGGACCCAAGAGTACTAAGTGGGCAGGAATAACATATCCTTGACTATGTAGCTAAACACTGTTTGACAGAACCCCTTCTTTAAGTTATTAATATTTCTGATCCAGTTATTATTAGCCAACAACTGGTTTCATTGCAAGGAGATGAAATATGTGATATAAATATTGACAGCAATAAGTTAG